TCCAGTATTCGGAGTGGTTACCGACATGGGGCCAGCTGAGCCGCCTTTCGTGCCAGATCATGAGAGGACGAGTGGCTAACTGAAAGTGCCTGGCACCACGATTTTCTTCGCCAACAGCGCCAGTGCGCAGAATACCACCCGGCAAGCATTCCGATCACCACGTCCCCGATGTACCAAGCAAGCAACGCAAGCGCGAACAAGCCAAGCAAAAACAGCAACTACGTCACTATGCGCGCCAAATAAGCTGCGAATAACAGAGCAGCAACAATCCCAACCCAGAAGATCCCAGACTCTAAACCCCCAAACTCGAAAACCCTAACCCCTAAACTAAACCCTCGCGGAGGCCGACTCGCGTTGGCCAAGGGCCCAGACGGAGCCCACCCTGCTCAAAGTAGTTGCAAACCTCCGCTGTCAATGCTGCCTTCGTGTGGTGTTAAGTATCCGCTCTCCACAACGGCAAGCTCACTCTTTCCCGATTTTGTGTCCCCTGTCCCCAACTACGGAGTGATTGCGGTAGCACCCGCTACAGGACAGCTGGCCAGCTTTTCAGCAGAATGAGCATCAGTCTGTCTGAGCCGGCAATAAATAAACCACAAACCAGCTCGACTCAGAAGGCAGCGAAAGGGGCCTTCACCTGGAACAAGCAGTAGGGTGCTTGGCAACGTAAGAATATGTAGGACAATATAGGGTGCATCATGTGGGCAGATGCTTCAACACAAGCCGTCAAATTGCTGCCTTGTTGGCGCTTCCGCATCTTGGCCGAGCCTCGCTTGCACACTGAACTCTTCGCTCATACGTCTTCATGACTGTCAACTATTGTCTTGGGCTAAGTCTCGGATTCTAGGGCTCCCTGCCCCTGCCCATCCAAGACCAAGAGACACAAGCTTGTGACATTGCCGCGTGCAGCATGCAGTTCGGCGCTGAAGTCTCTTATCAACATGCAAACCTCTCTCCTGATCCGGAGGTGACGTCTGCTGGACTGCATCCAAGCCGCCGGCATGTCAGATTTCGAATATCGGTGTCAATGAGAATGACGAGGAAGGCGCGGTTGGTACGACGGGCTCGGTGCATAGATGAATGCCACGGTAGGCTGTCGGTGAAGACAACGACTGTAGCCTTCCGCATGTCTTGTGGACAGAACTTTGGAAGGCTGCTTGGGACAAAGACATCTGGGTACAGGCCTGCCCATCAAGGCCCCTTTGGGGCTTTACAGAGCATGGCGAAACCAAACATACGACACCCTTTGGGTGGCTGTTGACTTGCACTGCAGAATTCGAAATAGTAGGTGTTTGCTGTATGTGGTACATCAGCTCGCCCCGGGGTGGATGTGACAGCTGGCGTCCCAAAGCCGCTGCTGTGCTTTCTGTGTCCACCCAGGGACGATCTGAGCGAAGACTCGAGGCCTGCCATGCCTGCCTCATAAACTTCAGCCGGTCTTGAAAAGTGCTGAAGTCCCAAAGCGCAACTTCTGTTGGAGACTTCCCGGCCTTCAACACGCGAATGTACAAATCGGGCGTGCCTTGCGTGCTAGTCTCTTGGAGCGGCACAGGAGCTAGAGTGAGGAGCTCGTAAATGAAACCAAGCTGTGGTGAGAAGGCTTTGGACAATGCTACCGCCTCTTGGATCAGGCTCCGCGCAAATAGTGTGCGCTTCAGAGAGTCCTCCGGCGTGAAACCGTCCTTTGATTCAACCGGCTGGCAAGAACCCGCGGTCAGGACGCCTGCCGATCCAAGTGCACGCCACGCCCCCTTGTAAACACTTCATTGCAATGGCATTTACAGCATACTGCAAGTCGGGCCTCCAACGGCATCCTCGGCGGTCCCTGCGCTGTTGGAAACTCTGCGGGCGAACAACCAATGCACCAATACTAGCATGTCTGACAATGTATGAGATGAACCTAGATCTGGTAGGGACAAGCAATTCTCTTCCGTCCAGTGAACTAGAAGAAACCATCCAGCACAAGCGCTTCCAGCCGACGAGACAATGCAAGAGAACATCAACAATGGATGTTGTCAACCCGAATGTCGAGGGGACGCCATCCTTTTAGCCTCCTGCATTGCTGAATGAGTCGCTAGGGACTCCATTCTAGATCTGTTTTTTCTTTACCAGGCACCTGCCAGTCAAAGAGGATGTCTGAATACGAAACAGACGGGTGGGCACATGGGCGGTTGTGGGTACAACATGCAGACATACACAACTATTTTCAACTTATATGTGTCTGTAAACATGGCCGTTTCAACAATACTTTCACCGAGTATTGTATCGAACTGTGCGCTCCCGTGCCGAACCGAACCGCAACATCTGGGACGCAGCAACCAACCTCCCGCCTCACCTCCCACTCCCACCTCCACAACTCCCATCCCTCCCATCCCTCCCACCCCCACCTCTCCCACCTCTCCCACCTCTCCCACCTCTCCCACCTCCCCCACCTCCCACCACCTCCCCCACCCACCTCCCACATCCCAACTCCCACGGGAGGTGGGAGGTGAGAGGGTGAAGTACCGAATGTTACACATCCCGGGCACTGCAGACTTCACATATCACTTGCATG